TGTATATCAGGAGGGGAAAAACACACAGACACAATTAATCCTCGATTCCCCAGAAAATATGGGAAAATATGGGCATTGGGGGGAAGACAACAACCCAGAAAATATGAGAAAATATGGGGGGATATTTTTATTTGTGTGTATTTATTTGTGTGTCCTGGGGCCCCTTCAGTACAGTTGGGGACCGTCGCGCAGGCGTTCTGCGGCCATGGTTCGTCGACCCTGGGCCGCTCTTTCGGCGCGGGCTCGCCCTCCAGCTGCTGCGGAGCAGCGTCCCCGTTCCTGGCACCGTCGGGCCTTCCTGTCGGGTGACTCCCGCCTTGGCGTGCGCATGCACCCGACCTCTGTTCCCCCTTCCTGCTCTGTTGCCCCCTCCTCCCTTGCGATAGAAACCGGGGCTTTGTTTCTATCGGCTAGCACTGTGCGCTTGCTCGTCTTGTCGTGGTGTGACGCCTCATTTTACTGATGGTCGTTTGCACCATGTGGGGACGCACACACAGCGCCATTGTCGGCCCCCCTCGCCTCGCGCCTGTCCTCCTCTTCATCCGCAACCTCTCGTTTCAACACCACGTTGTCTTCCGATCCGCCTGTCGGCTGGCAGCTACGCTAGTCGACCATGCAGCTATCCTGACTCAGCGTCGTTCTGGAGCGCTGCCTTTGGTGATCTGACGCATATGGACCAGAGGATTCACGAATCGCGCTCGGCTGCGATGCGCTGCGGTGTTTCCAAGGAAAAATGTGGGCCAGCGTGTACCCCGAAACGGTGATGTATTACAATGTATGCGGTGCAACCTAGGTGGTGCAATCAATGTGGTGCAATCTAGGTGGTGCATTGCGATGCAAACGAAGGTGAACATGCAAAGGAACGCGAAGCAGTGCAAAGCCATGCAGAGCAGCGCGTCGCGATGCATGCGAACCACCGCGAAGCAACACGACACGACACCGAAGCAGTGCACGGCAGCGCAGCGCAGGGCAAAAAGTGCACAGTGACGCAAAAAGCAGGGCAGAGCAAAAGGCAGCGCACGGCCATGCAGGTGGGCGGAGAGGCCACGGGCGGCGGCCGGCGGCGCTGAGAGCCGGTGGGGCCGCCGGCCAGACCCCAGAAGTGGGCGGCGGCGACGGGCGGCGACGAGGCAGCACGACGACCAGCCAGGCCCAGTCCCCCCAACAAAAAAAAACGAAGTGCGAGCCCTGTTTTGGGGGGGGGGGTGCACGTGCAGGCGGGGGTATGTCACCCTGGCATCGCTCGGACGTGTGCATGTTTTTCTCGGCGAGGATCTTCGAGGAGCATCCTCGACCATTTGGCGAAAAAAGCACGCACGAAAACGAAAAAAACACAGGAAATGGACGTCCGAGCGATGGCCAGGTCACACACACGCATGCTGCTGAGTGGGCGGCGGCGACGGGCGGTGACAAGCCAGCACGACGACCGGCCAGGCCCAGTTCCAAAAAAAAACCGAAGTGCGAGCCTGTTTTGGGGGGGAACGCGCACGTACAGTGCCGTTTTTTATACATGCTCCGCGTGCCGATCATGTATGAAAGATGCAGGGATTGAGTGTCAAAAACAACGATGGCTTCATGCATACATTTATTCATACATCAGTCATGTATTAAAAATCATATATGTTTAAAAATCCTATGTATTAAAAACTGCCCTGTACAGACGGGGGTATGTCACACACATGTTGCGTGGCCAGTCATCTCGATTCCCCAGCTCCCGAGTCAGCCATCGGCACGACTCGGCAGAGTTGGCACTCCGCTTCCGCCGTCCGTCCTTGCGCAGCCCAGGGCGCCTACAGCATTCGATTGCGACGGATTCGTTTGGGACGGAGAATGACGTCGCGATTCAGTGCATCGCATCGGTTGCGAATTCGGAGTCGGAGAGCTTACATCGAGAGTGTTGGGCAACGGCAAAAGCCCGACGGCACGGCATGGTAAGTCCCCTCATATTGTAATTGAAAACGGCTCTCACGGCCCCAGACATGTGCAGCACAGCTTTGGCAGCATTCCGTCGCGAAGCAGAGGTGGAGTCCGATTTCTCCAAGCTGTTGGCGGAGATGACTGCGACCGAGACCACTTCGCAGGCAGATTATGATCGTGAGACCAGGCTTCGCGCTCTGCTGACTCTCCCCGGCGTCGTCTTCCCTCCCCGTTCCTCTCCTTGGGCTGTCCGCACTCAGCCCAAATCGTCCCTGACTGCTTCCCTGACTGTTCTCCGCAGCCTGTTCCCGCTCATTGTCTCACTGCTCTGGTTTTCCTGTGCATTTCCCCAATCAGTGCTTGCACTGAAGGGGTCCCAGCGGAACTTGAAAGATTTGGCGAAAGTCTCCCGCCGATTTTGGTAGCAGGCTGGGTTCCCGGGTTCCCAGTTCCGGGCTCCCAGGTTCCCAGCTATTGGTTCCGGGTCGATTTCGGTGGGTTCCGGGTTCCCGGGCTCCGAGGTTCCAGGTCGATCTCTTCAGCAGAAACTATCCATTGATTGGGTTTTTCCTCCGGGTTTTTTCTCCTGTTTTTCTTCGACGTTCCGTTTCCCCCAGTGCGGGGACGGCAGACGCGCGCGGTCCGTTGCACAAATTGTGCAGCGTGCGCGTGCGACCCCAGACATCCGCCTGCTCAAAACTTGTTCGATGCGTGGGCCCCCGAGGTCTGGACCACTTCCCCAGGATCGTTTTTTCGTCCTGAGTCGTTGTTCGACGCTCCCGCCTGGCCCGTCTTCTGCCTGCCCGCCCGCCCCGCCGGCCCTGGCCTCCCGCCTGGGCGTTCGTCGTCGTCTGCCTGCTTCTCCCCTCCTCGTCCCCTTCCGCCGGGCAGCACAGCCTGCCCGGAACCAGCGTGGTGGCGTAGAATCGCGGATCTCCGCCGCCGAACGAGGCGGCGCCGGCCGCCATTTTAGGACGAGCCTGTTGGGCCTTCAGCACGTGTGCTTGTGACGCTCCCGAGGCCCGGCGAGGGCTCCCGGAGGCCAAAAAGCAGCCAAAAAACGCCCGCTCCAGTTGATGTCGGAGCGTCGGATCTCTGAGTCGTTGCGGGTGCCTGTCTGATGTTGCCCCTCTCCCTCCGCGGGTCCCCGTCTTCCTGGAGGGTTTCCCCGAAGGGCTTGGGCGACCCGTCCTCCTCCTCCTCCTCCTCTTCCTTCTCTTCCCCTCCTCCTCCTCCTCCTCCTCCTCCTCCTCCTCCTCCTCCTCCTCCTCCTCCTCCTCCTCCTCCTCCTCCTCCTCCTCCCCCTCCTCCCCCTCCTCGCCCTCCCCTCCTCGGGTCGCCTACGGCCCCGATGGAAGCCGCCCACCTCTTCCCGTGTCGAGTCGTCGAGCGTGCCCTGTCTCGAAAGTGCAACTCGAACGGCGCATCTCCAAGGGCGCCCCCGAGGGCGCGAAGTTGTTCGCGCTTCGCGGTTCGGTTCCTCATCATCATTTTCATCCTCCTCCTCATCCTCTTCTTCTCTCCTGGGGGTTGGCGCGAGAGCGCGAAGTTAGGCGCCCTTGCATCTGTGTGTTTCTGCTGTGGGGTCCAACATATGCATCCCTTTATCCGGATGTGCTCACTGGTCGAATATTGCCCAGCAGCCCGCCGACAAAAAATAGGTGCACGTGCGGGCGTTGGCGACGACGACGACGACGACGACGACGACGTCGACGATTAGGGAAACGACGACGACGAGGAACGGGATGCGGACGAGGCGAGGGAGATGGGTGAGGTGGACACTGAAAAAAGCTCGGGATTCTAAGACAAGGGCCAGGACTACTACATTTGCATCGCCCTCTCATGCTACAAGTTGCGAGCTCCTTGATTTGGCAACTACGCGGCGAACCATTTTTCCACTACTTGTTCTCTGTTCGCTTGAAGTTTGAAGGAGGTAGTTTCTATAGGGTAAAATGCAAAGCGGCTGTGATAGTTGCATGATATCCGACCCCGAACCAAACCTCCGTTGGTTTGGGAGGTCGCCGCGGCCATCGCAGCGGCCATAAATCGGGGCAAGATTTCCGTCAAGGAGTGGCATACCCCTTCCAGCCACCCAGGCTCTGCAACGTAGACGTGGCTCAGAGTTAAGGACAGAGAGTTGTCAATGCATGTCATATGTGTCCAACATGAGCAGTCATGCGTTTGTTGGCCCGGGATCGTGCATGACGCAACCGTGCGAGGGAAAGCCAGCTGCTGAAGACCACGAAAGACCAGGACGTTGCCTACAAGACCAAGGACGGGACTTGCCCGGAAAAGACGCGCGCAGCGCGCGGCCCGCGACGAATATGTGGGAAACCTTGTGGCGACGCCTCCAGCGAGAAGATTGGATCGGACGCCGCCGAGGAACGTCCTGAGAGGCCTGCACCTCAGCAGGCCCTCTCGGTTTGGGCGCCGCTTCGTCCCCGGTGCCGTCGCCGTTGATGTGTCCAGTGCTGCTTCTGGTTCCAATCCCGGAGCTGTTTTGTTTCCGTCTCTGGGAGTTGTTTTTCTTACCGTTTTCATGGTATTGTTTTCTCGTATTGAAAGTTGCACCCCAAAAAAAGTCCTTCCGTTTCTGGGGCCTACTCTGGTGTAAACATTGTCGAAGGGGCAGTTTCGCCGAAGTCGGCACGAAACGGTGGCGGCTCTGCGCGCCAGACCCCAGCGATGCCAAGGAGGAGGTGGAGGAGGAGGGGCAACGGGAAGAGGAAGAAGCGAAGGCGGACGACAAGACGGGGGCAAGGAAGACGACTACGACGAACACGAGGACGGGAAGGAGGAGAAGGAGGAGGAGGAGGAAGACGAGCAGGATGCTGCGCAGCCCCCGAATGAACGCGACTACGAAGCCCGTGCGAGGCAGCCTCGCACTCGCGAAGTGCAGCAGCGAGCCGCCACCTCCGTGCCGAGCCTCCGAGCCCAGCACACCCGCTGCCCCGCACCAGAGAGTCCAGGCTGCGCCGCCCGCAAGACACAACACCGCATGCCGCCTGCCGCACAGCACCGCACGGCTCCTCCCTCTCCTCCTCCTCCTCCTCCTCCTCCTCCCTCCTCCTCCTCCTCCCTCCTCCTCTCCGCCTCCTCCTCCTCTCCTCCTCCTCCTCCTCCTCTCCTCCTCCTCCTCCTCCTCCTCCTCCTCCTCCCTCCTCCTCCTCCTCCTCCTCCTCTCCTCCTCCTCTCCTCCTCTCCTCCTCCTCTCCCCTCCTCCTCCCCCTCCTCCTCCTCCTCCTCCTCCTCCTCCTCCTCCTCACACAACTGAGAAGGAACCCGCGGCTGGCTGGCAAACCGCGCGCATCAGGGCAGGCCGACTCCTCAGCGGGCCCTGGAAACGACAGGGCATTGTTTTTGTTACTTGGTTGCTTCCGTGGTTTCTCACTTCCGGCGCCGTGTTCTGACGTTTCTGGGACGTCGTTTTGCCGTGTTCGTGACCCCCTGGAGAGGGCCTGGTCCAGATCACAGCTTCCGTACCGGATCCGAATCGTTTTCGAACCCGTTCCGAACGATTCGGATACCTGGACTGCCCAGGCTTTTTCGGTGAACAGTTTTTGAACCGTTTCGGTGAACCGTGGCTTCTTCCCGTTTTCATGATCAAGAAGGTTTGTCCTCGGAGTCTTAGTGTCAGTTGTTGGTCGCGCTGCCTGGTCCCAGCTGCGACCGCTTAGATTGCCGTTGAGATCTTCCCGTCGCGAATCGATTCGTCAGCCCTCCGACTGGCGGGGCACACGTCTCGCTAGGCCTGTTGTCCGTGAGCCGCGCGATTGGGACAGCACTCCTGAGGGGCAGCGGATTTATCGATCTACCCTTCCTGGCTGTTGCCAGTGAAACAGGAACACGAGAAAGAAACCCGCTGCTGGGTGGCAAATCTCCTTGTTCCGCCGCTCGCCCGGGCGTGCATCAGAGCAGGCCGGCTTCTGCCAAGCTGCCGCGTGGCCCCGAATCACAGAAGCCACCGAGCAGCCGCCGCGAGCTTGCTGAACCCTTCTGCGTCAAGCCCTGGCGGGTATAAGGGTCACGAAGAGGAGGAGAAGGAGGAGGAGGAAGAGGAGGAGGAGGTTGAGGAGAAGGACGAGGAGGAGGAGGAGCAGCAGCAGGAGGAGGTTTTGGGGCCTCGATTGCACCACCACAGAGTCTTCACTGGCAGTGTAGGACCTGTTGGCGACGGCTGCAGATAGCAGCCAGGACAATGAAACAGCGCGCTGCTGCGAGGATGCACGCTGGCAAGGACACCAGAAGCAAAAAGCAGACGGGAGCACGGACTGGGAAGTGGTTACCAGCCTAGAGCAGATCCTTATTCCTATGATTGGCATCTCCTCAACTCGTTGCCGACCTTACGAATTCCCTCAGTTTCTGAGGGCGCATCGCTAAGATTGCCATCGCCTTTGCGATTGTCAATCTCAGGGAGAGGAACAAGTTCGTGGCTGGTTAAGTGGGACTCCTCGCCACAAGTTCGACCCTTGGCGCAGAGCCCGAGGACGGCGCGGCCACTCCGCCCGCCACCGGCCCGAGCGAGGACGGAGGCTGCTGGGGGGCGCAACCAGACATCAGAACGCCTCGAGAGACCTCACAAGCAGAAACGGGGATAAGAACAAAGATTGGTGACGGAGCGGGCGGTTACCTTATCTCGAAGATGTTTTAAACACGTCATAAACATACACTGTTGGCGCTCTGCGTGGATTTCTTGAATCTGCGCTGGGGCCCCCTGGCGGCGCCTCCGGCGCCGCCCCTGGCGCGCTCCACGCGCCAGGGAGGGGGGTCCAGCGCAGATCCAAGAAATCCGCGCGGCGCGCCAATAGTTTATCATGTTCATGCCGCATGCTCTTCTTCTAGATTCGTGACGGAGCGGGCGGTGTTCTTATCCCACGTTCCCGCCCTGGCGACCTCCAACCCCCGACTACCCTCCCCCCACCCTCGCCTCACGAAGACCTGGCCTGAACCCAGGCCAGCCGCTCACGCTCAGACAGACGCACAGGCGAGGGGAGCATTGAGGCTTCACCTGGTGAGGGCAGAGGTTGTGCACGGCTGCTCGAGGCCCCTCCGAACACGACAGTGACGAAACAAGGTATACAGTTGTTCGTACCCGCGCGCGCATCATTGCCCCGCTTCGATTAGCATGGATGTTTGCGCTAACGCAGGGCATGCCACCCGTAGTGAGCTGCACGAGTGGGAGGCACAACACCTTGAGCAGCAAGCTTCTTGGCAGACGCACTTGACGAGTAGCTCTCAGACGTCAAGGCACATGGAGGGCACTGACCCATCCGAGCAATCGAAGGCGACGTGCAGCAACGGAGACCGAATGCCTGCCGTTTGGCCGCTTGCAGCTGGGATCCGTCCACGCATCGACCTTGGGGTGGCTTAGCCTCTGCGCTTCTGCCTCGCAAGCACTGGGCACACCTCCATTTCCCCGATCACCACTCCCACCTGTGCTCCATCACGGGCTCCTCCGCGAGCGTGTGAGTTGGGGCAGAGCGCGTCACATTGTCAAGCGAGAACTTCGGCCGAAGTGTCAACAGGTTGGCAGCAAGAGCGCAGTAGACGCTAGCAATGGCAACTATACCGTCGACCGCCTTCAAATTTGAGGAGTCGGTGGGGTGGAGTTGAAGGCAATGTTTCCCTCCAGCGTCTGCATCCGAGCTGTTGTTTCTTACAGCCTTTCTCCGGTCAGTATGTCTCGTTTCGACGCTCAAATGCGTTCTAACCTCGACAACGTCCTCAATGAGACTCTCGTCAAACGCAGTGCTCTGCAGCAGCAGGCCTGAGTAAGCACTCTGATCCGAACATCTCTCTTGGATAGGTAACTTTCCTCGGTGAACTACTTTTGGTACAGTCCGAATCAACCTTCGATGGGAAAATCAAATTGAGAGACAACGCATCGGGCAGAAAACTCTGTCAAATTGGGATCGGACGGAGTTGACAGCATCCTCGGTGAAAAGGTGTTCCCACATCTCTGCATTAGCTGAGGTCCTGGGGTCTGCGGGGCTCGAGTTCTTCAACAGGCCATCAGGCATGGTGCCATTGAGAGCATTGGTGCCAGCAGGCACGGGCCTTGGCAGGTGGTCGGCGAGATGGGCGAAAGCCCCATGAAGATGCAAGGCGACGGACGCATCCGTGACCTCAATGACAAAATATTATATGGTGGAGGAGTCCAGCTGAGCCCAAAACTCACCCCAGATGCGTTGATGTGAAGCAGCGGCAGCCTGACGGCAGAGAGGGTCGAGAAGGTCCACCTCGCATCCGCACGCTAAGTCACAATCTTCCGTCCATATCACGTTACACGCGCGCGAGCAGATTTAGCATCGTTGGGCCGGCATAAACTTCTTGGAAGCACCTGCGGCATTGGGAATGTCCAGGCACATTTGTTCACCGAACCCCAGTTGAGCTCAGGTTCCTCTCCAGGCCCTTGGGATACGCGTCAGAGAAGGAAGAGGAGGAGGAGGGGGAGGCGGAGGAGGAGGAGGAGGAGGAGGAGGAAAAGGAGGAGGAGGAGGGGAGTGAAGAGAGGAGAAGGTAGAGGAGGAGATAGAGAGGAGATAGAGGGATAGGAGAGGATGAGGAGGAGGAGGAAGGAGGAGGAGGAGGAGGCGGAGAGGGGGGGAGGAGGAGGAGGAGGGTGAGAGAGGAAAGGAGGAAAAGGGGATGGAGGCGGAGGAGGAAGGAGGAAGGAGGAGCAGTAGCAGGAGAAGGAGAGGGTGCGAGGGAGGGGAAGAGGAGGGGGGAGAAGGAGGAGGATGGAGGAGGAGGAGGAGGAGGAGGAGGAGGAGGAGGAGAGGAGGAGTTGGAGGTGGAGGGGAGTAGGAAGGGGAAGGGGGGACGAGGGAAGAGGTGGCAGGGGGGAGACGCAGAAGAGGAGCAGCAGGAGCGGCAGGACGAGGATGAGGGGAGGGGGCGACTTCCACGGAATCCCGCCGCGGCGCCGCTGTTTTCCGCCCGGGATCTCGTAGGCCTCCCTCACGGGGTCGTCGCCCGCAGCGTGCTGCAGAGGTCCGGGTGTTCACTCTGGCGTGTGGGTAATTTGTTCGACACGTGCATATCTCTCCTCCTTTTCCCGCTCCCTCTCCTCCTCCTTCTCCTCCTCCTCCACTACCTCCTCCTCTATCTCCTCCGCCCCCTCATCCTCCTCATCCTCCTCCTCCTCCTCCTCCCCTCATCCTCCTCCTCCTCCTCCTCCTCTATTTCCTCCTTCCTCTCCTCCTCCGAATCATCATCTGAATCATCATCAGCATCATCATACTCGTTGTCATCATCATCATCATCATCAGCAGCAGCATCATCACCACCATCAGCATCATCAGCAGCAGCATCATCATCCTTATCATCAGCATCATCAGTATCGTAATCGTCGTCGTCATCACCATCATCATCAGCATCGTCATCATTTTCATCATCCCGATCCCCTTCGTTCACATCCTCGGCCTTTCTCTCTCTCTCTCTCTCTCTCTCTCTCCTCCCATGATCACGATAGCTCTCGTCGTGCTCTTCGCTATCTCCCTCCTCTTCAACTATTATCCTTTCCGCATCCTGCTCATCTCGTCGCCCTCTTATCTGCCCTCATCTTCTAGTCCTCATCCTCCTCATCCTCTCCACCTCCTCCTCCTCCTCCTCCTCCTCCTCCTCCTCCTCCTCCTCCTCCTCTTCATAGCATCAACATCATCATTAACATCATCAGCATCATCATCCTCATCAGCATCATCATCAGCGTGATCAGCATCGTCATCATCACCATCACCATCACCATCACCCCCTTCGTCACCGTACTACTCCTCCTTCTTCTTCCCCTCCACCTTCTTCGTGCCCTTCTCCTCTCCATGTCCGTCTTGCTCTTCCGCATACCTTTTCTTGCTGTGTGCGTTTCATGCTTGTGCGCTACATGTTCTCAGGGCTCCACTCGCACACCAACCCCGAGCTCCTGAGCTGGTGACACTGATATGTTTCAGGTCGCATGCGGTCTCTGTCCGTTCGCTCCCCTCTCTTCCTCTTTCCCTTCCTCCTCCTCTCCTTTACTTGTGTGTGACGACGGTTTAGGTCCCGCTCGAGACTATCTTGAGTTCGCACCCGCATTGATCTACCTTGCCGTTCTGCAGCAGTTTGTAAGCCTCAGGCGAGCAGACAATGTTCGAGAATGGAATGGTCGTCGTGGAGTCAAACTCTTCCACCCATGTCTTCCATCCCCCCGATGTGGGCGGCTGCAGTGGAGGAGTGGACACTCGCCGTCTGGCGTCTATCGAGGGGCAGCTCCGACTGCAACCGCTACTGGGATGTGGCGGCGATCAGTGCCTCATGATGAGGCCTTAGGTCGCCCGAAGGGAGAGCAGAGTGCCTCATGATGAGGCCTTCGGTCGCCCGAAGGGAGAGCAGAGAGGGCAGCGCGAAGATGGTCTGGATTGTCCTCTGCCCTGGCCCCTGACATCGGAACAGCATCAAAGCTTCAGGAGCACAAGCAGCTCGACAAGAACCTGGCCGAAGACACTGCTGAGAGGTCCAGCGTGCAGACCGAGCTGTCTGCCATCATGGACTACAAGGCCAAGATTCAGGATATTACCCAGCATTGCGCTCCAGGTGACGTGTCAAGGGAGGGGGTGGCATGCAGATTGCAGTCGTTGAGGCTTGAGTGTTTCGGCTCTTTCGGGTTGCGCGCGTGGGAAGTACGATCAGCGAACTTCAAGCGATTCGGCACGATGCGGTCGTGGCATTGCGCTCTTGACCCCAGCGCCTCAAGAGAGGTTGAGCAGGAGAGGCAGGAGTAGGAGCAAACATATAACAGAGACGAGAGAGGAGGAGGAGGAGGAGGAGGAGGAGGAGGAGAAGAAGCAAGCAAAAGCCAAGAGAGGATGAGGACAAGCACGTGGTTGCTGATGGAAGGCTACGAATTGGCCGGCCCGACCCTAACCCGAAACCTTATGCTGAAGGCCTTTGTCTCTGACTGCAGTTGCCCCCTGCATGCAGCAGCACACGCTGCCCATGGGCTGTGAAGAGAGGCAGAGGCATGCGCATGTAAAGGCGCATACACTCTCTTTCCCCTGAGCCTCGAAGCCCCGTAGGGTGCGGCAACAGGGGTGCCTGATACGCGTGCGACATGCACAACACCCAAGGCGAATGGACTTGCAAAGGGAGAGAAGGGGAAAAGAGGGAGGGAGAATCCCCTGGAGGCTAGCCGACGTCATCCTCGTCAGCTTGAGCTGCGAGGGCTTCGCTCACGAGCTGGGTCAGGGGGACGGGAGGAGACTCAGCACGAGCGGGCTATGGGCGGCACCCTTGGGGCGTCGGCCAGACTTTGCCCGCTGTAGCTGCAGCTTGGCTCCACTGTGAGGGGGTCTCCTGCTGCACTGGTCCACGCGAGCCGCCCTGCTTAAACGAACCACCGCTATGACACACCAGAATGCTCGCGGGCTGCTCCAGGTGTTCATGGTAGAACAGACCATGCCCCTTCGGGTTAGCGACTAGGTCAGACATCTGAGCACAGTGTCTAGGACAGCCCATCGCACTCATTCGTTCCTCCTCGGCTTTGTGGGGGCGAGCACGGATGCGACAGATCGTGCATCGGCGTTGGCCATTGATAAAAGCGAAAACATGGGCCCTCGAGGACACACGAGGGGCCACAGGAGGAGGAAGAGGGAGAGGGGGAGGCACAGGCACAGGAGCCGCAGGGTCCCAGGAGGCCAAGGCCGAGGCGGCCCCAGCGGGAGTGCCTTGTTCCTACGCGGAGCTATCGCTGGCCACTCTCCGAGGGCTTTGGCAACATACCGAAGGTATTTCTTAATCAGAGTAGTGTCGTTCTCAGACTGCTCTACTTCAGCGAGGCTGGGTTGGCTGCCAAGGTTCTGGGCGGCCTTGGCAACCCTGTCAGCGGCATCGTTGCCGCTAGCACGTCTGCATTCTTCGCTTTCGGGCGTCTGTCACCTCGGGGGCAGCGGGCCCAGACGGCAACAGCCTCCTCCAGCAAGCACTTTGAACCCCGCCCACCGGTTTCGTCTTGGGTACTCCTCGCCGCCATGCAGCTGGAGTGCCCCTTTTTTATCAGCCACCCGCAGAAGGGGGGTGGGGGGAGGGGGGAGGGCTTCTTAGAACAGCTTGTGTGTTTCCCCGTGCGCGGGCCCTATCAATAGATGTGAGGCCGGCGCTTCAAAAAGCAGCCTCCTAAGAAGCCCTCCGCCCTCCCACCACCCCCCCTTGTGTGCGCCGCCAATTATAGTCTTAGTAAAAGTTGCCAATCTGGGTGGACAGGTGGCCTTCCGCGACAGCGGCCAGATGTTCAGCAGCTCCCGACGTTTGCGATGCCAGGCTGCCAACACGCCCACTACACGTGGCAAACTCTACTCCATCACGCATGCAAGTCACAGCAAACCCAACAGCGTTAACCTTGTAGTGAACATGGCTTGTGCAGCTGCCGTGTATACACACATCTCCCAGAAACGCCTCCTCAGGCCGTAAGTCCGGTTGCTTGTACCACAATCGGGCCGGGCCGACGGCACACCTGTGCCGTCAGGAGGGCTCCCCACGACAAAGTTAGGGGCAAACTGGAAGCCAAGATGGAGGGGAGACGTATCCTGAATGGGCTCTTTCAACCTAAGAAGCTCCCCAGTGGTGAAGTATTCTTGTCGGGGGTTCTCGGTCTGGG